TAAAAACTTTAGCTCCTTATCAAGCTCAAGGTAGGCGGAGTCAATCATTACCTGTTTCTCCTCCCCCTTCCTGTTCTTGTAAATCACGCCCACCTCCTTTCGCTGGTACCCAGAGGGCAAATAAGACGAATCTAATTTTAGCTGATTAGCAATTGAGTAGGCGGAGCGAGATGAGCCCAGCTGCTGGGGTGGAGTGAAATGAAGCATGTTATAGCCGGACTTATGAGCGAAGGCTAAACGAGACCTCCAGTCTGCTAAAGGACCGAGCAGCTTTGTAACGTGCGTCAGACAACAAATAGAGTTCGGCAAAATACCGAGGTCTGGTTCTACGAGGAAAAACCCGTGACCTGGTAAAACGGTGGAGGATGGCGGTACGCTGGGTAGACGCCAGGTTAATTTAAATGGCCCAGGAGTGCTGAGTTGTACATCAATGTATCTGTCTGGGTCCCATTCTTCTCTCTTGGTACGGTACGTCCATTCCAGAGCTCGTAGCTTCCCTCTGACGTACAGGGCACCCTCTGGAGGGAAATCAGTTTCAACTACAACTGGAGAAGAACTTATACTCCGGGACAGTGTTAGTCTAAGAGTCGATCCGAGGGGTATTTTTAATAATTTGGAGTCCCAGTCCTCCCCTTTTGTTAGCTCGAGTGTCTTTACAGTTTTAGCAGCCATCAGGATTGGAGGAGATAGAGAGAAAGTGCCCTGGACCAGGCTAAAGTGCAAAAGTTCAAGCGCCAAAATTAATAACTTTCTTACTATTATTAAGTCACACCTCCAGAACCACGCCTACTTTGCGTGGGTGATTGTTGCTATAGCCACACCTCCTATCAAAATGGTACGTTGTCTCTTGAACTTCTTTACAAGTTTAGTCTCTTTTAGGCAGAAAGAAAGGCCACTAACAAGTACTACCCGCCACAATGGACTCCTAGCCACGTAAGACAACTATTAAACTAACGTATATATGGTGTTTTTGGTCTGTATGGAAATATGAATATATTTAAACTAATGATCCTAAACCTTGTCCTCATTAACCTTTAATTAACCTTGTACCTTGTACTGATTGTACTACCCTATTGTTTGATCCTATTGTTCCATAGGGGTCACTCAATAAGTTCCAAGGGTCACACCCACTGAGAGAGAGGGCAAGGAAGATACACCAGGGGATAATCGGAGTAAGGTGAACATATTAAACTGTAATTAATAATAATTTATTAATGATTAACAAATTGACTCTAAACGAGGTGGATTAGTGGTTTAAATTTAACAGAAATGTAACCTTGTGCATGTTACTATAACTTTGGCAAATATAGTTCAATTTCCAAAGTTCCGTAATTTTACTGCACGAAATTTTCTATTTCTTTCTCTATATTTTCCTGCAGATTTGAGCTTCCCTTCAATATCTGGTGCAATGGGTGTGGCTCTCACGTTGGTATGGGTGTCCGATATAATGCAGAGAAGTCTCAAGTTGGGAAGTACTACAGTACTCCAATATTCAAGTTTAGGATGAAGTGTCATCTTTGTGATAATTATTTTGAAATAGAGACTGATCCAAAGGTAAATAATAATAATAATAATAATTAGTATGTTAATTGTTTAATTAGAGCAGGGCAATTGCAGTGAATTGCCCATTCAAAAATTTTGTACTACTTAGTAAGATAAGCCATCCGTGATCAGTATCATCCTTCATCCTTTACTGATCTCTTTATAAATGCATGAAACGTTACAAGGCTATCGTGGGTCGGACTATAATGATATTCATTACTTGTTACTGAGGCTTGTAACACGTAGTTGGAATCCACTCAAAATTATTATCATACGTAGCATATATCAACAGTATATTAATTATTAGTTTAGCTATAACTTGTATTAATCAGAATCAGCTCAAACTTTCTACACAGCATAAGGACATCAATACGTATTAGAAAATGTAATAAAAACAATTAGGAAGCCATTTTTAGGAAAAATCATGGACTATATATTTATATATTAGTACATTGTTTTATCTGAAGATTTCCTTTTTCAATATTAATTTTTATAGAATCATGATTACGTGGTGACGACAGGTGCTTCAAGAAAGAATGAACGATACGAACACGAAGAAGGCGTGACAGCGTCCATTGAAGGAAAGGCAGAGAAGCAAAAGATGGAGAGTGACCCCATGTTTAAACTGGAGCACACGGTGGAGGATAAGGAGAAGAGCCAAGATGAAACACCAAGAATACAACTACTGCAAGTGAGAGAGAGGAAGAGAGAAGGAAAGAAAAGTGATACGGTATTTTTTTATCTATTGTAGTCTATGCAAGAAGACAAGAAAGATGATTTTAGCATCAACCAGTTA